TTTTAAACCCAGGGCTGGGAATGTAGCTCAGTGGCGCAGCATCTGCCTGGCAAGTGTGAGGCCCTAAATTCGATTCCCGGTACAAAACAAACAAAGTACAACCCTGTTGTGGGATAGATGGCCTTTGCTCAAAGTCATGTTCTACCAAGAGGTCCCCACTTCCTCCTCTCCAGCTGATCTCTGTAGAATAAAGGACTGACTGTTGTACTTCAGGTCCTGAAACAATAGCTCAAATAAAGGAAAGTTAAGAATGCATACACCAAGGGCAAGAGGTTCGGCTGTAATCCAGCCTTACACAGAACCCTCCCAGGAGGGATCCAGCCATTCTAGATAGGATCAACATTTTATATGCAGCATATTGTTGGATCTTGCTTCTTGACCATTCTGCCAATCTATTTCTTTTGATTGGTGAATTGAGACCATTAACATTGATGGTTATAACTGATACGTACTGACATAGCATTGTCATGACTTTTTCTTTTTGTTGAATTCTCCCCCTTTAGATTTAATTTCTTGTTGTCCTCGATGTATTCATTCTGCTGTGCTTCCTGGGGTTGTGATCTTCATTGTCTTTTCCTAGGATATTGTCTAAAATTTTTTGGAGTGCTGGTTTGGTATTCATGAAGTTACTAAGGTGCTCTTTGTCATGAAAGTATCTTATTTCTCCATCAATTTTGAAAGATAGTTTTGCAGAGTACATCAACCTGAGTTGGAGGCTGTTTTCCTTTAGGGCTTGGAGTACATCACTTCAGGCTTTTCTTGCCTTGAGGGTTTGCATTGAGAAGTCTGCTGTGATTCAGATGGGCTTTCCTTTGTATGTGATTTGTTTCTTTTCTCTAACTGCTTGTAGAACTTTGTTCTTCTGTTGGGTTTCTGGAATCTTAATTATATGCCGATGTGTAGATTTTTTTTTTGATCAAGGCTAGTTGGAGTCCTGTATGCCTCACTTATCTGTATGTCAAGTTCTTTTCCCCTGCTTGGGAAGTTTTCTGCCATCACTTCTATGAACAGTTTTTTTATGTCATCTGCACTCTCTCCTGTTTCTTCATTGATGCCAATCAGTCTTGTTATTTTTCTTTGCATCATCTAGCAGCTTCTGGATTTACTTCTCATGGTCCCTTACAATTTTGAAGTGATTTTTCTTTTCCTGGTCATTAGTTGCAATCTTATCTTCTATATCTGAAATTCTGTCCTCACGTTGGCTCATTCTGCTGTGTAGACTTTCAATGGAGTTTTTCATCTCCTGGAAATCTGTTTGCATCTGTTTTATGGATTCCATTTGTTTCCTATGTTGAGATTCCATCATGTTCCTCAGCTCCTCTTTAGATTTATTAATCATGTCTTGCACTATGAGCACAATCTCTGCTGTTATCTGAGAAATTATTTCTGATTTCATTTTTTCCAGATCCTCTTTTGTTGCCAGTTCAGGGAGTCCAGGTGGTTGAGTATCATAGTGTTCCATCTCCTCTCCTTTGGGGTTGCTGTAGGTGATCTGGAAGTCTGGTTTTGAGGCTTGTTTATGTGTCTTCTCATTTCGACGGGTGGCGGGGGCAGGGGATGTATGTGCTGTTGGCGCCCACATGGCTCACCTCCTGTGCACTGGGAGCAGTGGTACGGCATCCCCGAAGCCCCTTTCTCTGCGCTGGGAACAGTGATACGGCGGCCCAGAAGCTCCTGCCTCTGTGCTGGGAGCAGTGATACAGTGGCCCAGAAGCCTCTACCTCTGCACTGGGAGCAGTGGTACCAGGATCAACAATTTAAACAGTTTTTGCCAATGTGCCAGAAGGTGGCAACTCTTTCTCAACTTTAATGATAAGAAATTGTTTGCAGTGGAGCTGGTGTAAGCTACAGGCAGAAGAAGAAAGACCATCTCCCTGGGGACACTAGGGAGGGTGGAATTGAAGGAACTGGCTCCAGAGGAAACAGGGCTCTTAACTCCCTGAAGAAAGCAGATGTCACAGAACTTACATGGGAATGAAAAAAAAATAGGAAAAGAGGAAAAAATGGAAACAAAGTCTTTGTAAATATGGAGGGGTGGAGGAGTTGAAGGGAAGGCAGGGGAATGGGGAAAAAATAAGAACCAAGATATATCATGTTAAAGGTATAAATTCCTAATGATGAATGTCATCATACACCTAAAATGCACCTAAAATGTACCAGTAAATTTAATGAAGAAAACAAAAGCATTCACAAGAGAAAAGCATTCATGTTAAGACAAACCCAATGTAAATTATATATACATTTTATCATATCCAGCATCCCTAGTATTTACCCCAGTTAGTGACACTACTCATTGAATGGAATTGCAAACCTAGGTTTCATTTCTGGTTCTGCTGGGATCAGGAAAAGGATCAAGAAACATATAACTGGACTTCTGCCTTTGCAGAGGCACAGGAAGCCTGCCCAGGCATGGAAGTAACAATGGACACATGGGTGGCAAACACAGTTGGCACCTAGGAGCTGGAAATGCAGCATGAGATAGGGGCTACAGGCTGGGCACGTTTCAGAAAACAAAGAAACATGCACAGTAGTTGCTTTTGGCTAGTCTGTCCTCAGAATTCCTGGTTCTTAATCATAATATTGAGATAAAAAATGCAGAATGGTTTTCAAATGTTTCAGAAGTCAAGACAAAGCAATAAAAACCAAACATCAGTAGATCTGTGATGACTCTGAACTTCAATCAAGTCTTGAATTCTTCAGTGAGCAGGACAGAAACCAAAAAGATCACAGGTCCAGACACCCAAACTAGAAAGTTTCTTGATGTGCTTGCCTTGATGTTTTAAGAATTAAGAACCTGCTTTTTTCATTTTTGTTTTCAGATCCTTTCCTAATAACTACTGGGACAAGTTTGTGAAGAGAAAGGTATGCCTTGTCAGTGGGGGTGAGTTCTGTGATCACAGAGAAACATAGTACATACTTATTATCAGATATCCATATGCAGACATGCGTAAACCTGATGTTAATTCTATCATATTATCCTGAGGAGAGTGAGTCACAGAAGTGCTAGTATATGACAGTCTGTGGGTTTTTTACTTCATTCTCAATCTGTCTTCAACAGCTTAACATAATGCCTCTTTTCTCTGCACATTTTTCTCCCCTCCAAAAATGATGCCAGATCACAAAACGCAATGTTCATTTAATTGCCTTTAGCACTTCAGTATCCTCTAGGGATCATTTTTTCTCTTTTCCTGTTGCATTTTGAATCATGTCTTCATCAGCCCCTTGGAAAAGGCCAAAGGGTAGCAAAGTTTGAAGACCACAGAGCTAGTAAAACATGAATAATGATGTGTGGCCCCAGCTCACTCTGTCATCTCTCCACTTTAGGTGATCAACAAGTATGGAGATCTCTACGGAGCAGAGCGCATTGCTGAACTCCTGGGCTTGGACAAAAATGCCCTTGACTTTAGCCCAGTGGAAGAGACCAAAGCAGAGGCAGCTTCTCTGGTGTCATGGTACAGAGCTTAGAAGTTAAAATCCGAAGTCGCTAAAACAGACCCTTGGTTTTCCCATTCCTCTCCACTGTGCTAGAGGAGAAGAGTACAGCCATGTCTTTGTTCTCTTGGGCCCTGGTCTGCCACAGGTGTTTCGTCTGGATTCTAACATATTGGGAAATGATGGCTTTTAAAATCTTGAAGATCAATCCGATTTCTTTATGCCCAGTAGAGCTAGAAGAGAAAGACTAATTAAGATTTCAGAATGTCTGGTTTTTGTCTCTGGGGAACCTATTTAACTTGATAAAGTTCACAGCTGTATTTAGGTTATTAAACCTGAGAGGAAAGAAAGCTTAATTTCCCCCCTTATTAAATGCTTAACCAAATCTTGACATTTATAAGTTATGAAATTATTTGCTCCTCTTTAGGCTGAGTTCCGTCGACATGAAATACCATATCTGGAAGCTGGGGGTTGTTTTCACTGACAATGTGAGTGTCATACCTGGAAAAGCAAGATTCTGTAGCCCACATTCAGAGATGGGACTGGATTCCACAGGGAAACCAGCCAGGGGCTGCCAAGAAAGCTTCAGGGACTACTTCTGAGGGACCAAGAGCCTTAGGGTGTGGGGGACTCTTCTCCCCTGGGCAGTAGTGTGAGGCAGATGGGTGTCACCTGGCAGTCCTCACCCCAGCCCATAGCTGGTCAGCACCCACATCCCCTCATGTTCACTTTGTTCCCAGAAAATGTGAAAAAGAATGGCTCAGTGAGCACAGCATGCTGCACAAATGCCTGAGAAATTGTTAATTTTTTTCCATTTCCAGTCCTTCCTCTACCTTGCTTGGTACACAACCATGTCAATCCTGGGGCACTACAACAACTTCTTCTTTGCTGCTCATTTATTGGATATCGCAATGGGCTTCAAGACCTTGAGGACTATTCTGTCATCTGTAACTCACAATGGCAAACAGGTATTGGGTTTATACCAGTTTGGAAATATGACAACAGTAGTATGCTAGTGTATGACAGGAAGGAATGTGTCATAGCGTATAGTGTGCCTTTCTTGGCCAGACACTTGAATAAACAGTGATTGCTTTGCAAAACATCAGCCAGTTAAAAATATAACTGTTGGGCCAGGGATTTAGCTCAGTGGTGGCACCGCCGCCTGCCTCGCAAGTGTAAGGTCCCGAGTTCAATCCCTGGTACCAAAAAATATATATGTATATAACTGCCATTGTCACATGAGAGTCCTAAGACCTTGATTCAGAGACCCTGAAATTTAATCAGTCCAGGGGAGCAGGGAAATGATGAACAAAGTAATGGAGATCTCCAAATCAATTTGGAGACCCTTGTTAGGTGTACTCCTTCCTCCACAGCTCTGATACACTCCTTGGAAGCTAGCAAGTAGACATGTATAGTTAGAAAACTCCCCAGATACCTGTCATGTGTCCCAAATTAAGAACCAAGGAGTTAAGACACATACTTTATATATTTAGCATGTAAAATAAATAAATATATGTAAAATAAATTACTGGATATAGCAATATTAAAATCCTCTTAATAGCTTCTTCTTGTCTACAAATTCAAACTGCTTAGCCTTTCATTTCTCACAAAGTACATTCCTTATGTATGAGACTTACATGCAGAAGAGGAAAACAAAGAAGGAAATGAAAATGTGCCAGGCCTGTACTGTGTCTCAGATACTGGGACAGTCTCACAACTACCTTGTCAGGTCAGCGTTACGCGCATTTGACAGATAATAGAACTGAGGCTCAGAGAAGCTGAGCAGCTTATGTAAGACCACACAGCTGCTAAGTGGCAGAGATTAGACTCGAGCCCTTTGCTTTCCTTTGGTGTAAAGTCCAAATTCTTTCTCATGTTTCCTAAACCTGTTGCTTTCTGTGAAGTCCTCCATCCGAGGCCTGAATAACTACTCCTTCCTCCAGAGGCCACCGAATATGTATCTACTGTGGCACTTAGCAGTCATGCCCACTCCCTTTTGTGTAGCTCCTCAAAGGCACCAAATGTATCTTGCTGATCTCCTTGTCTTCAGCCTGGTACCAAGTCCCTGGTATAGGCCACATGTGCAGGTCCCTTGACCCCTCATGCATGCCGCTGAACCCTTGCCTACTAAAGCCTGGAAGTGATCGTGCCCTGTGACCCCACAAAGGGCTTGGGCACACTTCTCAGTGAAAAAATGTTAGCTGGCTGAGCCATCGTAATTCTTATAGTAACATCAAAGCCATGAGGGTCATCCTGTTCCTCGTTATTTATAAGGCAGCATCACCAGGGACACTCGGGTCCAAGGAACCTGTGGTGTTTTAGAAGCTGCATTAGAGTGGGAGCTGTGTTGTCCAGCCCTGGGAACTGCTAGCTCTATAACAATGTGATCTTCTCATAACGCCCTCACTCCTCAATGCTTGAGTACTTTTATAGTTTAGAGATGCCCAAGCCAGTACACTGTTACTCTGCCAGGGCTGCCATAACAAACTGCCACCAAGGGGATGGAAGCCTGTGTCTACTTCTGGAGGTGGGACGTCTGTTATCAAGGTCCTGACAGGGTTGGTGTCCTCTGAGACTGCTCTTCTTGGTTTGTGAACAGCTGCCCTCTGGTGGAGGCCTTTTTACGTGACTGTCCCTCTGTGTGTGCATGCATCTGGTGTCCTATCTTTTCTTCTAAGGACACTAGTGAAGTTGGATTCGGACCCAGCCTACTTCTAGCTTAATCACCTCTTTAAAGGCTCTGCCTCCAGAACTGTCATATTCCTGGGATGTGCTGGTTAGGGCTTCTGCATATGGACTGGGGAAACAGGATTCAGCCCCTAACACCGCATCATTACTCTGTTCAACCCATGTCTGTCCCTCTCTGCACACAGTATAACGTCCTCCATCACCAGCCTCTCACCCACGCCCCTTTCACTCCTTGCTGGGCCTTCCAGTTCCTCTGTTTTGAGTCATTCCTGAACCTCCACGATGGAGATCCCACTTCCTTCTCCTTTCCTCTGTGCTCTCCCCCACAGCTGGTTCTGACCGTCGGTCTCTTGGCAGTGGTGGTTTACCTCTACACGGTGGTGGCCTTCAACTTCTTCCGTAAGTTCTACAACAAAAGTGAAGATGACGATGAGCCCGACATGAAGTGTGATGACATGATGACGGTGAGTCCCCCTGCTGCTGTGAGGCCACCATGTCACACTGCCTCCCTGCAAGAGAAGGACCATGGGCGTGGCCTGGAGAACTGAGCGCCGGAGCCCTTAGTTGCAGTCCAAGAGAGGCTAGAGCAAAAGATGTCTTGTGCAAGGAGAAAGGTACAGGGAAGAGAGCACCGATAGAAATAGATTCAGTTGGTGGGATCAGAGCCTCATGAAAAGGGAAGCACACTGCAGCAGGGTCATCATTCATCTCACCTTATCTGGGGTAAGGAGGAGGCCCCCTCGTGAATGACTCACATCTAAACTTCCTGGAAGACAAACTTGCTCTTCTATCTCTGAGAACTGGCAGTGAGGTCCCTTGAATAAGGTACTTGATTTCAGCCAGCCAGTGGGGACCTTCCAAACCACCACCAAAGCTGAAGAACCAGACAACCACAGGGGCAGGATGCGGGAAGTCCTAGCAGGCTAGGCTGCAGCAGGACAGAAAGAACAGCTCAGGGTGACCCAGCACCGCTTCAGTGGCATCATTTATCAGGACCTGATTTTAGGAAAACAATTTATGGTCCGAGATAGGTGGCAGCAAACTGCTCCTGACTGCAAGCATGCCTATACGAAAAGGAACGCTCATTGGCTTCACTCTCCTTAGGCCTCTTTGGGACAAGCAGCCACAAGACAGCAGCAGGCAGAGCACCCATGTGACTCACACCTGGCCTCAGGCTCACTAGGGTCTTGCTTTACCTTTCAAGCAACTGCCAACTTGTGCAGTCAGGTGAAGAGATGTCTGCCCTCCTCGGCAAGCCAGTGGCCAGGTGCCTACACTGCATCAAACGTGCAGAAGAAAGTCTATTATAGGGCCCCTATCCAAAATGTTTGGGATCAGAAGTGTCAGATTTTTTGATTTTGCAATATTTACATATGCCTAATGATGTGTCTTGGGGATGAGACCTAAGTCTAAATGTGAAATTCATGGTGTTTCACATACATACATCTTATGCACTTAGTTGAAGGTAACTTTATACAGTATTTTTTGATGACTGTAACCCATCCCATTAGGTGAAATGTGGAATTTTCCAAGTGTGGAATTTGTGATCGTGTAGTAAACTCTCAAGAGTTTGAGATTTTGGAGCATTTTTTACTTCAGATTAAAGATGTTCAATTTCTATCTAAGATGCTGCAGAAATCCGTGCCCTGCCAGGTTTATAGGGAATGCAGAAGCAGTAGGAGCCTTTTCTGAGTGTTTACAGCACAGCTTAAAAAAACTACACTGACACCCTTGAAAATAAATGAATAAAAACTAGGATCTGGAATATGCCATACTCATCAGGCCTTAAAGATCTTCTAACTTACATGCACCTTAAATGAATCCTGTTGTATCAAGCAGTTCAAAACTGTCTTTTAAAAAAATGGACCAAAACATATTTAATAGTAACAGTCTTGCCACTGTTGTGGACAGCAAACTGAGGACAGATATGGTGACAGCAGCCATGAAAACCTGTGCCACTGAAGAGTCCCCTGCTGCTGGGTCAGGGCTGTCACAGGCTTAGTCATATGAATGATGGAACCGTTTTGCTGGACACAGAACTCTTTGACCTGAATGGCCACTGTGTTTCTCTCTTAGTGTTACCTTTTCCACATGTATGTGGGAGTGAGAGCAGGAGGCGGCATTGGCGATGAAATTGAAGACCCTGCTGGTGATCCTTACGAAATGTATCGCATTGTCTTTGACATTACCTTTTTCTTCTTTGTCATTGTCATCTTGCTGGCCATCATTCAAGGTATGGTTGCCAATTATATTAAGTATGAATAGAGTTTAATAAATCGAGTTTTTTCCGCAACTATGACCTAATTTATAAAGAAGTTTGTGAATTCACTTGTTAATTTAGCATTTATTGGGCCGGGGATTTAGCTCAGTGGTTCCGCCACCTGCCTTGCAAGCGCAAGGACCCGAGTTCGATCCCCGGTACCCAAAAAAAAAAAAAAATTTAGCATTTATTGAGCATCTACTATATGAGGCCTTGACTACATATAAAAAGCCAAAGATATGCCCAGACATTGTTACAAGAAACTTGAGAATCCACACCAAGGACTCCCTCCCTTCCATACCCTACCTGGATTAGCTCCTCGTCCCGTGGCTCCTGCGGCCCAGTCTTTGGTCTCCCAGGCAGAAAGGTGGGGAGGGAGCAGAGGACTATGGGAACATCATGTTTTATCGTCTTCTGGGGAAAGGAAGGGGTACTATGTCTTAGTCAGTAGCTTCTCAGGAACCAGTGAAGGACAGACAATGAGTTTAGTCCAGTTCATGGTGAGCTGAGGAGCCTGTAAGATATGCCCTGTTATGTGCTAGAAAGAAGGACCCTCGTGAGGGTCAGGAGGAGAAGCACCCACTGCGAAGACTGAAAACAAACCACTGAGCAAGAGAGAAGAATGAGGGGAAGGTGGGGAGGAGAGAGTTCCGAGGAGGAGCAGGTACACAGCACTGAAGTGGAGTAAGAGGAGCAGTAAGACGGGGCCAGCGTGAAGCTCTGGCAAAGCAGGCTGTTTCCCCCAGTTTCGCCTTAATTGAATAGTTCAGGCTGATAATTCACTTTTTGGACAAAACAAAGTGGCCTCTGCTCCCCACCCGCCCCCATCACTCCTATCCCTGTGACCACTATGCAGAGAAACACAGTTTGTATTTTAAATTCTAGGTCTTATTATCGATGCTTTTGGAGAGCTGAGAGACCAGCAGGAACAAGTGCGAGAGGATATGGAGGTAATGTTTCTCACTCACCCACCCCTACTTTTACATTCCTATAGCAGAAAGGGTTTTTAACAATAGGTGCGGTTATTAATTAGGGCTGGCCCCAGGCAGAACTACCAATGAAGTAGTTTTGAAGTAGTTTCCGGTCCTCTTCCTGCTCTGCGCATTTCTGCCCCTAGCTGCTGCCCCAAGATAGAAGGGAGCCGACCGCGCAGCTAAGCAGGAGCTAGGTAGGAGGCACTGTGCAGTGAATGACTAACAGCTGAAAGCACTTTGGAGCAAAGTATTTTTCATTATCCCTCAGCTGAACAGAGGCTGTTACCCTTTTCCTCCCTGTCTAATACCTTTCCTATCTCCATTGTTTTCTGTAGACGAAATGTTTCATCTGTGGCATTGGCAATGACTACTTTGACACAACCCCTCATGGTTTTGAAACACACACATTACAAGAGCACAACTTAGCCAACTACTTGTGAGTATTCTGGGCTAATACAGATGAATGGGGGCAGAGAAAAGGAGTTTTAAGAGTTAAGAAAAAAAAAAAATGTCCCATGGTTCAGTCTCTGCTGATGCCATTTCTTCCCTGAAAGAAACATCCCAGGTGGCCCCAAGAGCCTCTGTCTCAACAGATGGGCACCGTGGGCTGTTTTCCCTCCCATCTTAGGTGGCCCCTTGGTATGTCCCTGGACTCCACCTCTTCTCAAGGACACACATCTCGGGCAAGGCCTCTCTCCCCTCCTGTTGTCTTGTTACCATACAAATATGCTTTTTCGAATCCTCAAGATGTCCATTTTTACTTCCAGCTGTTGCCCATTTCCCTGTCAGCAAAACTTGAAAACTGCCCAGGCTCCATCTCTTTTATTTTTCTCTTCCCATCCTGTCACAAGACTTGGTCGCATCAAGGGGCCAATGATGTGCATGTTGTCAACTTCTGTGGATATTTTTCAGGCCATCACATATGTGCACAGATCCCATGAATACATTAACTCCATGACAGTGGGATACTCTGGTGTGTGCATGTTTCACACTGCATTATTTCAGCATCTAGAGTGGTGATGGTGTATCTTTTAGAGCTTTCAATGATACAAGTGGCACATATACCATAGGTTCACCACTACTGCTCTAGACAAATGCCTGGCAGCAATGGTGAACAGTAAATGAGTACTGCACTTCTACAGTAAAGCATTTGCTCAAGAACAAGTTATTGGAGCTTATGTGCCATGGATTTCCTATGAAACAACTTAGAGAATGTATGGGTTACAGATAATAAGATCTGATATTTCAGATTCCGTAACTGATCATTTTTCAAGAGAAAAAATGCTCTGCTCCCTTACTGCTCTTCCCCCACCCTCACTACACTGAATTATTTAGAAAGTCCTAATCTATAGGATGGAGTAGGTACAGCCTTTGGGGAAAATGGTATTATCAAAAAGTGGGGCCAGGGATTTAGCTCAGTGGTGCCACTGCCTGTCTTGCAAGCACAAGGTCCCGAGTTTGATCCTGGTACCAAAAAAAAAAAGTGGCAAAGATAGGCGTTTTACAAAATAACGTTAGCAACCCCTCCCTCACTTAGTAAATAGTAGTCACCGTTCATTCCCAACAAGGGCGCTAACGCCTTAGTGGAGGTGCACCCTCGGCCCTGTCAGTACCAAGGGATCACAGAGGGAAGGGCTGGGAAGTCATCTGAGTTGAGACTCCCTTCCACAGCTTCTCATAGCATTCTTGTTGCAGTGGTCTATTTTTTGTGTCTGCCCCATCTGAAAATGCTGTTTTGCCAATTAAATAAATGTGCTGGGGCAGGAATCATGTCCCACTGGCCCGAGTCTCAAACATGATAACATGATAAAGATATTGACTCTGCCTTTTTTCTTTAAAAAAAAAAAAAACCAAGAGGAAATGAACATGTTTGGAGCTGCTTCTATGGGCCAGGACCTGAGTTATAAATATAGCACTGCCCTGAGAGGGCTCACGATCTGGAGCCTTGGCTCCACTACCCTTAGAAAATTATTCTCTCTCTCTTCCTTACCGTTATCCTTGCACTTTTTTTGAAGAACAAGACACCATCTGAGACCATGTAACGTGAGCCAAGAGCTTAGCCCCCTGGGAAACTTAGGTGTCACAGACAGATCACCATTAGAGCCAGTAAAACTACACTAGGATTTCCCACTTGTCTACAGTAAAAATAAATAAATAAAAGCTATACTTCTGTAAGAATGAGAAGCATTTAATGAAATATTTTTCATGAGTGATATCCTTGAGGTACACATGTGATTTGAGGCCTCCATTTTTATGAGATGATAAATTTGCTTATTTTTATAGAGGTTGGGCTATTTTGTTAATGATTTTCTTAATAAAATGGTAGATAAAACACTATCTTGCAATTGGTATCAGCTCAAGCTTTGGGATGGTAATTCACAAGAAATTTGGTTTTGAGGTGAGCATGGAAATGATGGTTTGCCATGCTTCTATTTTTTTTTCAAGGTTCTATTTTTAAGGCATCATTTGAACCCTGTGCCCAGTTCAACTGAGTAAATAAACTTAGGTTTCTTATTAAACATCTAATATTATCTTTCTCATTTAGTATGGCTTTTTCCCTTGTTCCAGGTTTTTTCTCATGTATCTGATTAACAAAGATGAAACAGAGCACACGGGTCAGGTAAGAAATAAAATGCCTTTAATCCAGTATCATACACGTGTGTTAGATCTTCCCTTTCTGAAGTCTGAGTGCATAGGGTATCTGAGCTAATGACCCCCCCAGTTAGGCTCTGGCATGCATCTCCCATCACCTTTGTGAATTAAGCAGCAGCCAGATTCCCATGGTGACCTTGGCTCTATTCTAGTGGTGGTGAACCTATGGCACACATGCTGTAGCAGCTGTTTGTATCACTGAAAGCTCTAAAAGGTTCGGCATCTGGTATTCCAGTCCTCCTGGAAATTCTTCCCACCATATTTTCTAAGCCATTCTGCTTATTGCTTTAGAGTAGAAGAGCTGGAAGCAGGAAGAACATTATCAGAAAAAGCAAGAAATAGAGTGGGTGGCTGTATAAAGAGCAGGAGAATCAGAATAAGACAGCATGAGACAGACAGCAACCTGGAGTGTGGGTGCCTACAGGAATGTGGAGCTGTGCTGGAGAGAGGATGAGTGAGGAGATGTGTCAAAGAGGCTGTGACTAAGTCTGAAAAAGAAATACAAAGGTAGAGAACAGTTACTCAACACTGGACCTGTAGGAAACCTTGACAGCTCCAACACTCTGTAGAGGGAGAGGCAGGAGGTCTCTACAGCTGGCCTCACCTCTCCATGCCAGCACAAGGCATTCATTCCCTCAACATCCATTCTTCTGTGTTCCCAGTCTTTGGCAGGAGGGGGGATCTTCTTCCTCTCTGACAACACTGTGAGGAAAAAATGAATTCTCGCTCCCAAAGGGGTGGGGGCTGGGAATAGAGCAAGAAAGGATGTGCCTAAATAGGAAGAAAAGGTCCAAAGGGGCAGGGGAAAGGAAAGAAGGGAAAGGAAAAATGATGAGAATGGAAATAAAGTCTTTGTAAATAGGGAAGGGTGGAGGGGGTGGAGGGCTAGGAATGGGGAAAAAAATAAGAACCAAGATGCATCATGTAAAGGTACAATTCCCAATGAGAAATGTAAATGTGTTGTATACCTAAAATGTACCAACAAAAGAATTTAAGAAAAAAAGAAAAAGAAAGGATCTGCCTGCTGGCCTCATACCTAGTTGCATCCATTTTCCTAAAAGAAACCACACTTGGTTTTAGCTTGTGGTGGTGTAAAAAGTCCCTTTTGTTCACGTTATTTCAGGAATCTTATGTGTGGAAGATGTACCAAGAAAGGTGCTGGGATTTCTTCCCGGCTGGCGACTGCTTTCGTAAGCAATACGAAGATCAGCTTGGATAAACCTGAACAAAAGAATCCTGGATGGTCAGCTTCCAGTGAAACAAAAGCCACCTTTTACAGTTCTACAGCACATTTGATATGTGAGGTTTTCTAGATGTCTCCTTTACAGGAAAGTATTTAACAATTTTGTGATATTTGGAAGTTGATCTGGCTTTTTGTGCCTAATGGACATAAACTGTAGTTGTGAACAAAGTAAAAAAAAGGTGAGGGGGGCGCAGGAATCTTATTGGATGCCTTCGGAGTTTTTCAGCTCTAATGTAACTAATTGGTTGCAATGCTAGCATTGAAAGGCCCAGAAAAGTCTTAAATGTGTAATGCCTAAAATTTTAAACACCTGAATGTCATACAACAGTTATTCATCAGTGGCTCATGGAATGAACTTCACAAAATCATGTTAACTAGTCTAATTTTTCCCATGGTACTTGCTAGTGACTGTAACCAGAATCAGCTTGAAAAGCTTTAAGCAGTTAATGAAATAGAAAACAAACCAATACTTTGTTGACACTGAAACATTAAGTGCCTTAAAACCTCTTTAGATAGAGCTATGCAAGTTTTTTATGTTTGTGCTCCAGAAGGACAGTTCCATTAAATAGTTGTGTTCAGTCTTACTTTCTGAAACTGCACTTGAAGGTTATTCATAATTTTTTCAGTAACAGCTTGTCAACTGCTGTTATTAGGAGAAAAGTACTGTACTGAAAATTCAGAAAAATCTTATGCCAAAATTGAGTAATGCTTTAGGGCCCCTTGTAAGTAGTGGAGCTGCTATGTTTTAGGTGAGTTTCTCAAATAAAATGAAGTGCCCACTGCAATAAAATAATACATACCAATCCATGGTTTGGCCTTTTTATAATGCACCTCTTCTGGGTGATTCTGCAACTTTGACTGCTGGGGAAAGGGACATGAGACAGTAGCTTAAGGCTCCACATGAGGAAAACAAAACTCCACAGACCCGAGAAAGTTTATTTTGGACAAATGCATGCCTGGTTGCTTGTATGTGTTCTCCTAGGACGCAGCACCTGCTATGCTGTAAATATCAAGAGGAAGGAAGATGGAAACATCACTGTGACACCCTGCCTGAAGGGAATCTACTGGGTTATGAAGCCAGAAAACAAACACAAACGGGCCCATACAGCTATTATCCCAGATGCTGTCAGGCAGAGGCAGGCTGATGCAAGAGCCCAATGCAGCACGCCAGCTGGGGCACACTGGCAAAGGCGCTGGCTCTAGGGCCAGCCTGATGCCTGCCTGCACTGAAAAGGCAACTAAAATCTGCTCTAGGCACTTCTTTTCTTCTTTTTAGGAAATCATGCTGTCCAGCCAGTCTTCTAGTTCTTCCTCGGTAACAGTTTTAGATGCACTTGGTTGCTCAGAGTCTACATTCTTTTCTTCAGTCACAGATGGTTTTTTTGCAGGAACTAGGGAAATAAAAGCAGTGTTAACAACTGCACATTAATACCAACATCAAGGACTAAACCTCCCCCTGGGTTTGTTCCACAATATAATTCAGCCCTACTTATTAGTTTCCCTATAACAACAGGAACACTCTCATTATTGTTACTCCCCCTAAGATGATACGATAATAGCTGAACAAATTAATAAGTGGGATACAGATTTGCTTGCTCTCTTGTTTATTCTGAAGTTGAATTTCACTTTTCCCTGTGTTTTGTTTTGTTTTTGGTACCAGGGATCAAACTCAGGTCCTTGCACTTGCGCAGCAGGTGACGAAACCACTGAGCTAAATCCCTGGCCCTGATTTTTTCTTTAAAGACCAACAGCTAGCTCAGTGTTCTTTTTTATATTGTAGCATTTCTGGAAGTTCATACTTTTCAGATGCAGTTTGTGCATGTGGTAGTGCAACTGCTTTAGGGCTCATCACCATCTCACAAAACATGTATACAAATTACAGTATCAAATAAGATCAAACTAGCAAGAAGGAAGCATGAAGAGCTGGTTTATAGGCCTGTTCGGACAGTCAGTTAAAAGGTCTGCTGCTGAAAAGCTGAGGGCTTCCAACAGCTTAATGTCTTTTTACAGCAGAGGTTCAATTTGCAGCTGCAGGCGTAATACTGCAGTCAGCCAGGTAGCACCTTGAGAGCTGAGTATAGCAAGCAAGAGAAATGTCGTCAGAAAGGTCAGCTCAGGGGGAAGCAGTGAGCACAGGAATAGATGTCAGGGACAATGCTGGATCGATGTCAGACGCACAGAGGTGTGTACACCGATGGGGTGGGCTGTTCCACAAAAACGCCAGAATGGAGAAGATGCATGGGGGATAAAGGAAAGTCATACCTTGTTCCTCTTGTGCCACCTGGTCATCCTTCTCAGATTTCAGGTCAGGAGATGTCTGTCCTGGTAAGACGTTATCTCCCTCTTTTACAGGCGCATCTAAATTAAGCAGCAGATCTAGTTCTTCTTCCAAATGGTCTGCTGCTGACTGCAGTGGGGAATCAGGTTTCTGAGAAGCCCCTGAAGGACCTGGTCTTGGGCTGTCTTTGCCCAGGGACCCAGGGTGGCCAGCAGTGGAAGATCTCAGCTCTGAGATGGGGCCCCTTCCTCCAGGCCCCAGAGGCCCCTTCAACTGCATTCCTAGTCCCTTGCCATCATCGTTTCTCTTTGGTCTCACCTGAGGAAGCTCTAAAGGAACCACAGTCTGAAAGAGAAGTACAGTGGTCAAGTTAAAAGTATGGGTCTTACCATATTTGCTGAGGTGGAAACAAAACACAGGGAGGCCAAGGAAGTCATCCAACTTTGAGGAGGGGGAACTCAATTCAGACACTTAGTTCACAAAATGCCTCCCACTGGGGCATTGGCCCAGCATCCTTCCTGGCTGACCTGGGGCAAACATGGGAGACCTCATGAAAACCAAGACCTATGTCTCTTATTTTCCTCCTCAGATATTGCTAGCTAGCTCAGAGCTGGAATTAAAAGGCCCACGTCTTCCTGTCACTGGCTTGAAAGTTAACTATCCCATAGGTCTATTTGAATTTATACTTCAGTCTGTAATGACATAAACATCTGTCAAAGTCACCAAGAAGTAATTAGCCTATTCATTCATTATGTTTAAATGTGTTAACATAAAGGAGCAGGAAAAATTCCCCAAGAAGGCAATAATGATTCTCCGCAACATTATTTGAGTAAAACGTGACAGATAAGAAAAAACAACAACAACAACAACAGGCAAACCTATAGTACTAGAAGCCAGGACAGTGGTTCTCTTTTGGGCAGAGGGGATTCCGAGAGGGTATGAGTGATGGCTGTTGGGAGCTGACACTGCTCTGATTCTTGATTTGGATGCTGATTCCATGGCTGTGAATATACAAGTGTACACTTCTCCATATCTGTGTTACACTTTAAAGTTAAACACTGCCCAGGTTGCAATCTAAAGACAAGAATCCCACTCCAAAGAGAAGGCTCTGCGGTGATCAGGGCCTCACAGCCACTAGGGTAAAATCAGATTCAGCCTCCACCAGGGCACTGATCCCTTGTTTTTACTTTAGAGCATCCTCAATAGATTTCATTTCCAAATAACTCCTTGAGTTTTACAGATATTTAATAAAGTAGGGCCCTATAAACACAAACTGGACTAAATGTCTAGCACTGAGCATCACACAGGACAAAGCTGGGATGTGGCCTCTATTCTAACCCTAAAATCCTTTAACCTGGAGTGTCTGCTTTTTTGTTCTGTGTTGTTTTTAACTTCCCGGATGATTCTAACATGTAAGCAGGCTGAGAAAACTCCATGGCATGGTGGAAAATGGGGAGGTTCTTCCTTGTCATTGTCTCCATTTCCAGCATGTCCCTCCCAAAGGCTGTTAATGTCATCTCTGAAACCCCTCTGGGGAAGCCCAATGGTCTGCCACCCCTACTGTCCTAGTCCAGCCCCCGTGTTCCCCCAGCCCCATGCCAGTCTCGTGCTAGGCCCCTTCTCTGTCCTCCCACAGGCAGACACGCACATTTCCAGCCCCACGTTCTGCTACCAGAATGGTGGTTGTCATCACTGTCATTTTTGTTAGAGCAGACCTGACTGGGTGACTCACCTTTAAATTTCAGCTTAAATGTTCTTAAACTGCATACCTCAGCTTGTCAGTCAACTCTTTAGGAAAGCGGTTCCAGGTCACTTGGCAGTGTATCGGGCTCATTAGCATACATGCTCATAGCACACTGTAATTCACAGGACTTAGTATAGTTTATAGACATATGGTGACTGCTGGACTAATTTAACTAATCCACCTTGCCCAACAGATGCCATTCCAGGAAGGCAGGTGTCATGTCTGTCTGCTCACCTTTGTGTTGCCACTGCCTAACACAGAGCCTGACATATTTTGACTGAAATAACACTATATTTCATTCACTTTCATTACAAGTTGATCTTTTAAAATGTCTCAAGTGTAAAACATAAAAGTAACTTTTTTAAAAAACCTTCAAATTTTGCAAGATGATACCTTAACACAAACTCTTCAATTTAGGAAAGTCTGAGACATCCTATAGAAGGATGTCTTCCCTCTAATTCTTCTGTCCCAACACAAAGCAGTTTATAGACACCTTTGGGGGTTTTACCTGGATCAACTCGGCAGCCACATTGAGTCGAAGTGAGAGAGGCAGTTCTTGAAGGCCTCGGACCAGTGACACACTATCCACATAAAGTGCTGAGTTCTAGACACACGTATTTTTAAAAGAAAGAAAAATAGCAGATGATGATTAAGTATGACTTTTTGGAAATAAAAGAATGTAACTGTAAACTCTTTACTGGCATTACTTTTGGCTGGGAATAAATGAGATATCGTAAATCACACTTGAAGGGCAGCAATTTCTCTCCACATAAAGAACAGCACAGCTGTAATCCCAGCACTCTGGGGAAACTAAGGCTGGTGGATGGCAGTTTGAGCCCAGCCTGAGCAACCTGGTAGCTTAACAAGACTCTGCCTTAAAATAAAAACTAAAAAAAAAAAAAGGATTGGGATGTATCTCAGTGCAAAGGTTCAATCCCCAGTAATGTTAAAAAAAAAAAAAAAAA